CCACTACGGAAAAAAATTAGTCTTAAATCAAGAATAGATATTTTCACATATAAGCAAGAATATTATCTCAGAAGATTTTTAGTCTTGAGTTTCAAGTAATATTTGCATCAATATAAATCCAATCAAATCAAGACTAAAAGTCTTCTAAGAAGATCACCGACACTCTTGCTTACGAATGAAAACATCTACTCTTGATTTAAGATTAATTTTTTTTTCCGCAAATAACGGTTAAGAATAACGTATATTTATCGGAGGGAGAAACGCGACTTTGATATCTCGGTGCAGAAAGAGGTCTGGAATGTAACGCATCACGTGCACAAAGAGTGCGTCTTGTCCACGCGGTGTCACCGTTGTCAAGTGGACAATATCTTCTCGTGTTACGACGATACACGTTACCGTTGCCGAACAAAAACGACGACCGCCGCGCTCCGGCGGCCCCGATGTATCTCTCTCTCCGCACATGCGTACCCGAGATATCGCGTTATAATTTGTTGTTACTACCGGCGACGTCATATTGAAGCATTTATGCGCCTCGCCTTTCGTTGCTCCCCCCTCCCCCTGGTATATGAACGACCACACATGCGCATAGATCGATATTGGCTAAAATCGAAAGATACATTTTCCCCTCTCTCAGACGCGAGGCCTGTACATCAAAATGACATTGCGCGGAAAGAAAGGCGGTGAAAGCAACAGCAATTTATTCGATAATCTTAATTCCCCCTTAATTGCAGGATCCCGACAAATCGCCTCGTCAGGTTACCAATCCATTTTGGGAAGCAATTCTCGAGCGGCTTCGGTAAGCTCGCGTGTAAGGGTGGAAGAAATCGATTTACCGCTTTCTCGCTCCTCGAGGCGAACCTCCGGCGCGAAAAAGGGAAAACCGTTGAAACAGTTTTTCGCAGTGTTTACACCTTCTCTCCTCAGTCGGCAGATAGAGAACGCGGCAACGCGTAGATAATACTCGCGCGCGCGCGCGGTCCGGAACAAAGAAACTCAATGCCGCAATGCTTCCGAGCCGTTTTTATATGCTTTACTCCAAATCCCGTTAGAGGATTTCACCTCGAACGTTCGCCGCCGCGCCGTTAAAAAGGAAGGAACGACAAAGCGTGTCGGGACGGGGTCGACAACCGCGGCGCTCCGATATCTCGAATCCGAGAAGGCGAGCCGCTGCCTCCCCGTGCGATTGCACGGCCAATCGAAGGCGATGCGATATTTATTTGCCTTCCGCGAAATGCCGCGATGCGAATAGCTATCCGCCGGTGTAATCGATGATAAAAGGGACAACACGACAGGAGCGGACGCGTCCCGGAGCTGTTACGAGCGTCTATCGATCGTGTCGTGCCTCCGCCACCCCTTTGTCGCGCTGTACAAATCGTCCCCGATTCGATTTGCAGCGATCTCTGTGTCGTAACGATTCGGACGATTCGCTTATCCGCGACGTTACGTAATATCACCGTGGCGTTAATTCCGCCACGTAATTAGTCGCTCATTAGCGTCGCCGCGGACTATCCGGGCAATCTCTTGCGCCGGAGCACGCGCGCGAAAACACGAGGAATTAACTTACACCGCGGGGAAAATAAATAGACCGAGAAATATAATAACAGGAGCGCACCGCGCGCTGGTAATGAGGCTCGTGCACTCTCCTCCTCTCCCCCTGAGAATAAACCGTAATTCCTTTAAACGACGCGCAACAACGATAAAACCCCTCCTGGGCAAAGAAATACGACCGTATTTGAGAGCAGATACCGGAAAGATACCGGGCGAAACCAAATTTACGCGCGGCTGTACTCGACAAGAGGAAGAAGAGGAGGAGGGAGGGGAGGACGAAGAGAGGTGTGTGTTCGCCGGGATGCGGAGGATACTACTTGAATAGGAACCGGAACTCGCGGTCCGTGCTCGGAATTGACTACACGATTGCACACGTACGGGCCGCGCATATGAATCGGATAAGAGACGATCGGAGGGTTTTCTACGACGCGAGGAGAGAGAGAGAGAGAGGAGAAGGTTATCGGTTCGTCATTGATTTCCTCGATGTACGAAAATAAATCCCGCCTGTGCACGGGGGAAAACGCGAATGACCGCCGACGAGGGGCGAACGGCCCCTGCGACGAAACCGCAGAGAAGAATTGGAAGTCGCGCGACGAACTCTCGCAATCCTCGAGAGAAGTGGAATGACGCCACGAATCGACAGAATTAACGACGAATCGTTTTCTCGGATGCGAGGAAGGTGAGTGATGGGGGGNGGGGGGGGGGGGGAGGGAGCTGTGGAGATGCGAATCTCTCCGTTGCACGGGATTAAACGCACCAGTGAATGACCGCCGCCCGGAGGAGCGAATATTTTTGTGCGAAATCTTATATTTGTAAGTCGTGCAAATGATAATCGGATAAAAGTGACGGATATATGATCGCGCGCGCGTTGAGATAATACTCCACGAAGGAACACGAAACGACGTCGAATTATTCGGTCTCCGTTTCAAATCATTATCATTTATTATCCATTTACTGTCAGAAATTCCTCCCGAAACATACGCATGCTTGTGTATCGCGTGCTCTGTATATTAATTTTTTTATCGGAATTTATAATAGCCGTCATTTCATAAATTTCGCATTATCTCATTCCCCGCTCGAATTTACCTCGTATTTCTGCACTGCCGTGTATTATGCATCTCGTATCAGTTGATCGGAGGGAAATATTAAACCCAAAGCACAAAAATAATTATACATAATGAGTACATGTAATTATATATGACATATATCTCAATTATTGATACATAATAATTATATATGATTATATATAATGAGTGGTCACAACAATAATAATGATGATAGATATATCTCCTAACTGTCTGGCCGGACAATTTTAGCCGTGCCAAGGAATATTTCGGCCTTGTCTTCAACGCGAGACAAACTCGAGATAGTAAATGAACTGGGAGGAAATTAACTGCCCCCTCTGTGCATTTCGCGCGAGGGGGGACGGGAATAAGAAATGCCCTTTTTGCTAGGCAACGACAGGTCCGTAATTCTCTTTGACCCTGCTAACCTTGAATCAAGCACGACCGACGCGTCGCGTAAATACCATCGCGTAAATACAAAAAGTGGAATGTCCATAAACAAGGAACGACAATAAATATCGTGTGCCATCGCGCGACTTTAAAACCAATGTTTTTGTTTCGCTTTAACGGTGCGTCAGTAATAAAACTGAAGCGAGGCCTGCAGTAAAGCCACATTTTATAACACATCTGATTTCCTCCGAATTACATGTCGTCGCCATGAACAATGCGTTCCAGTAACTCGCAGAGGTAACCGACGACGCGCAACTGTTGAATATCTTCCGTGGAAAATTGTAACGGAAGAAAAAAAAAGGAGAAAAAGAAAATATTCCTCCAACTTACGAATATTCATATACACATATACAGACTATACCTCGTGAGATATCACACTAACGTTACAGCAATCCTAATTCCTAATATGCGACAAATCTCGAGAGAAATAGGTAAAGTCACCAAGAAGAACTCATACAAATTCGTCGCTGTAATGCCGGCGGGTGACACGAACGCTCGCGCACGAAACAGCCGAAACTCAACGTCGCCTGTCATCGACGTGCACGACGGAGGGAAGAATTTCGGAGAAGCGAGAACGCGCGCTGCGCACGAAATCGCAGCGAAAAAATCGGCATCTTCGCGACCGGGATCGACGAGTAAACGAGCGGCGCGTATCCGGCGAGACGATACTCTCGGAATTCGCACGTGCCGTCAGATAACGCTTCGGGTCAGCAACAGTAGCCGGCTTCTCCAGCCGGCTCCGCCTGGTTCTCGCGATCTCGCCCCGGCTTTTTGCGCTACGCGCGGAGGAATCACGGCGTATTCGCGGGACAAACGCGTGCGAAACGTGTTTAGTACTCACCGATGGCGCGACGAAGTATCCTCGGCAGATAGATCCGCACAGAAGAAGCACAGGCCGCCGAGACACTCGCAACCAAGACACTTCACTCGCCGAAGACGCCGGTCACTGCGTCCGACTTTGTTGACTCGACTGCGCTTGTGCGTCCCCGGCCGGTTATGTACGCTCGCGTCGTGATGCGATGGCGCCATCCAGCGGCCGACGGGCGCAACCGAGTCGCCGTTGGCGCGAAACCGGGTGAACGCGGGAAATTCGCGCCGGCTCGAAGCGCACGTCGTCCGTTCGTGGAACGACTCTCCGACCCTTGAATTTTGACTAGTTTGCTTTCAGTGTAAACAAAACAGTATTCCGTAATGTTAGGTTATACTTGATACCTGAGAGATTCTAAGAGAATGATACTATATTGTTATCAGCGTGATATTCAAGAGATTTTATGTTCCTCGACAATTTCAATATAGCCGATATTGTATAATGTTGCAGTAATTTTGTCGAGGTAATAATAACTGTTGCTTCTCGTTTCTCCTAACCTCGATAACGATGGCTCATCTGATCGGAGATCAGTCGATCAGATACAAATGAATTTATCTTAACCATACCTTATTTTTATTACTAACAATGTACAGTCGTGACATATGAGTGTCGATCAGGCGTGGATCGTGCACTTCTCGAAGCTGATCCCGACTCAGGCCATTTCCCGGTGATATACGGCTTGCACTTCGAAGAATCCGAAATTTCAGACCGACAAGAGGATACACACGTTCCGCAGGAAGAACGAAATTTAACGTTGTCGCGAATTTGACGGTTGTCAGGCGGGCACGGAACGAGGACACGAGTGGACAATGGATTTTCGCGAACGGAAACTGACGCGCACCGGATGTTAAAAACAATGGCGTCCCGAGTTACTTTGGCGCGCATATTGATTACGTATTCGACCGATCGGTTGGATTTTTGTAAATTGCGGAATATTTCACGTTGCTCGAGGCTCGTTAAAACCGATCGTTTGATCGTTACCGATGTATATTTAAATATTGCAAGCAATTTTATTAATGTCGGACGTTTGCATTCTTTCAATTTCATAGTCCTAATGTTATCGCATGACATTGTTCGCGCGTCATTTTTTTTATATTCGCAGAATTTCGGTACTTCTCGTATCAGAGCATGAAGGGCAAGTCGAGATTCTTCTTCCCGTGGCCGACGTATAGAAAACCGTGATGCGGAGAATCCAGCTTATGGAAGAATGTCATTCCGTGCCAATACAAGCTGTGCAAAATCGCCAAGCGACCGCCCAGGAGAAACTGCAAATCCCAGCACCCTGAAAGTAACAAATGCATACGTCGCAGCAGCCAGCGCAGATTTCAATTCATCGACGCAACGTTAGCGGGTGTCCTTGCGGGTGCTCGTTTCTCCATTCCTGCCTTCGGGTCACAGAGAGTTCGTCGACTTCGCCACTCGTCTTACCTTGAGGCACGTCCATATCCACGCTGTCCAGAAAGTCCAGCGCGTAATTGTAGTCGGGTCGGGAGAGCAAGTTGGTGTTCCACTTCTCCTTCGGAAGACGAGCGTGCAGGTAGGACTTTAAGCAGGAGGCATCTAAGGCGCACAGGCCCTCGAAACTCGGATTTTCGATCACATCGCCGTTTGGACACTTGAACCAGGCACCGCGCGGAATTACCGCGGCATCCTCCGTGATCAGTTCCACGGTGGCTGCGAGACGATCCTCCTCCTTTAATTCCCGAGGTATAGGTCCCTGTATACAATTTCCGACTATTCGAACTTATCGCGTGTGACTGGGCTTTTCGAGCGGTGTAAAGTATGTGTTTGCGATTATCACACGTCATAATAAATCTTTGGGTCTTCATTCGGCGGAAATGGTGGATTGACGTTGTAAACGTTCATGACGATGAACGGGTCGCCTTCGAATCTGTTGATCGCCAATGGACTTAAGAATCGTCCGCATTTCGTCGCCTTCGGCAGCAATAACCAATTCATGCAATCCGTGCTATAAGCAGAAATCAATTTTTCAATCTCCTCTTCCTCAAAGGCAGTTGTACTTGATTCGTAAAAATTAATAAAAATCCACCAGCGGGAGTTTGTAATTTTGGATCTTCAGGAGTGATATCGTACGGTTTATTTTTGTAATTCTTCAATCGATCGTCGCTTCAAAATCGTGCGTTTTATTTCACAAAGTACCCGGCAAACACGACATGACGTGTTAATGACGTAACTGGCGCATGTGTTTGCTGTTTGACGTCATCGCGTTTGCAAGGTATCTTGTCGATGTATTTTAAATAATTAATTGATAATAAGAAATCTTATTTAATAAGACTGAAGCGAGTTATTACCTGTAATAATACACTTGGCCACTCATACAATCTTTCTCGTAGCCATACGCAATGTGATAGTCGTTTTGAATCCCATCAATTCTGCCCCAGTAATAACACTTGCGAAAATGATTTTCCGTCTGCAAAATGAGAAGCGAATTTTGCAACAGCTGCGAACTCTCCGTACTTATGCAAATACCGGCACACCCGATCACGTCCAACGTTTCGAGTAATCTCAAGCAGTTCATTTTGCATAGTTTATGGAGTCTACGACATTTCTCGCGGATGCTCGAGATTGCATTTGTTTCTCAGATGTCACCGGAACAATCCGATAATTTAATTATTCGGAATTTGTCGATCGAATTGTGTCATGGATACTAAAATGCGCGTTTAAATTATTATAATATAATTATATTGATTATATAGATTATGATACAATTTTATAATTAACTTAAATAAAATACGCCATAATCGATAGTTTCTATTTTAACTATTATTTTATCTATTATTTTATCTACTATTTTATCTATTTTATCTATTATGTTATCTAGCTTATTACCAGCGCGAATCCTGATTGGCTGCTGCTTTTTTGTTTTCTGTCAATGCGTGAATTCTCCCTTAGGCCTAGTCTACTAGGTACTTTAAGCCTTAAGAAATCGATCAATCACAATCAAATTATAGATTAATAACCAATTGTGATTGGTCAATTTATTAAGGCTGAAAGTGTGAAGCATCTATTGTAGATTAGAATTAAAACCGTACGTCACTTCGCACTGCCGGGTACAGTCGTAGATATGTCACTAGTTTTACAAGAAGGGTTGGGATTCCCCGGTGGATACCCGGCTTCATACGTCAAAGATTGGAATAATCGTGCGATAGAATAAACATGTCATCAGAAGAAGAAAACGATGAATTAACGAATTTGGAGCAAATTCGAGACAAAATATTTAGCCAACCATGTATCGAACGCATGCAAGTGAGTGCCTGGGAAGATGATGACGATGGTGTAGAAGCGGAACGTAATGCAAGAGGTTAGAATTTTAACCAAGTGTTCAAGCGTTTTTATATTGATGTTAGGAATTGATTGCATCTATGAATCTGAATAGAGTAAAAAATATGTGTTTATGGCTCGAAACCTCTTAAAAGTTTTTATTGATATGTTGCTCTTTTTTTTCTCATGAATCTCTTTGTCATTACTTTCAGAACCTGATGAAAAAGCTATGTTAGGTGCTGCTGAAGAGGGAAATCTAGAAAAGATTAAAAAACTAGTGAGTAAAAATCATCTTTTATTGGAATCTACTGACAAAGATGGCTATACTCCACTTCATAGAGCATGTTACGGCAATCATGTAGAAGTAGTAGAGGTAATAATCATTCTTTTTTTTATTCTCTGTACAAATGTTTGTGAATAATGTTATATGTTATAATTTTATTCCTTTTCTCTAGTATCTGCTGGAAATGGGAGCAAAATTAGATGCTAAAACATTAGACGAATGGCAGCCTCTGCATTCTGCATGTTGTTGGAACAATATTGAATGTGCAGAAGCCTTGATTGCAAATGGAGCAGACATAAATGCCAAAAGTAAAGGAGATCAAACACCTTTACACTTAGTTTCCGCTACTTCTCACAATTCTCCAGCTCTTCAGCTTCTTCTGTTGCACCCTGACACAAACCCACATATAGTAAACTCAAGTGGGGATACACCAGATAAGATTGCAAGGAGGACAACAATATATTATCCAATGTTTGAAATAATTGAGCCCTGCCTAAATGAAATTTGAAACAAATATTCTTACACTAAATAAAAGTGTAAATATAAGTTATGAGTGTTTTAATAATTGTAAGTTATAATAAGTATTTTGATCTGGTAAATATATTTATTATTTATATATTTATTATACTTATATATATGTATGTATATTTGTATACACATATGAAAATCTACAACTGTATCAGTAAGAGATTAGAAAAATGAGTAGAACGTGTAAAATGCTTCTGTACTACAGAGAAATGTTATTTTATAAAAACAAATTTATAAATATAAATTATTTTATTAAATAAAGCTATATAGTTTATATGGGTACAATACGCTCCAATATAAAAGTATATAAAAATATAACAACTCATGTGTATAAGAGATGATCTGGTATAATCATTGATCACTGGTATAATCATTATATCGGAAGTGTCAGTAAAATAATACTTCGGTATATTGTTCATTCTTTCTCACCATATGTCGTGTTCGTATGACCGAGAAGAAGACGGATTCGACGAATGGCAGCGTAATTTTAAATTAATTAATACATTGATCCATAAATAATAATAACACATTGCATGAGAAATTGCATATCCAATCAGGCGTTGTTAACGACTTTGAAAAGGCTTATTAACGTTATGATTACAAACGAAGTAACATCGAATATATACATTTGATATTTCAAAAGTGAATCTTACTCTCATATAGATATTCTTTTTCGTTACTGTGTGGCGCCATTGAGTGTCCATGTCACTTTGGAATGTTCGGATAACGACGATGCAGATCATAGTGACGTTAAATTAACGAATTTCGGGGTACCCGTGCTCAGGCGCTTCGATCCTTCCCATATGAGGATGGTGGAATCTTCCGTGGCCGCGTACAAATGGTGCTGATCCAAAGCCCACGCTACAGCGATTATCGCACCGCATCCCTTCACGCTGTTCGTAATTTCTCTGACTAATTGTAGATCCCAGCTACTCCACAACCTACATTCAAAGACATCGCTCAATGATCCATGGATTTGATAGAATAATTCGCGCGTCTCTCACCTAATTAACCCGTTATCCAAACCAGTCGCAATAACATTGACAGAAACACCTTCCGGAGCGTTGCTATAGCAAAGAGCCGTTATGCGTCTTCTGGACAGAACGGAGCCCACAGCTCTCGCATTCACGGTGTAAACTCTCAACTCAGACTGATTGAAGATCACACTGCTCTCCTCCGGTTCAAGAATTTCATAAATAACTGCTACGTCTCCGAGTGTCTCGCTGACACCCAGAAGATGTATAGGATAGCCTTGGTCGTAGACTATTGACCTCACGTACGTCAAGCTGTCACAAAGTTGAAACGTACAGATATTGTAAACAGATAATTGACAGCCTTGAATATCTTTCGCTCGTGTGTCCTCATATGTACCTGTTCAAGTCCCAAATAATCAGGACGCCACTGCCGTCACCGGAACAGGCGACACTGAACGCACGTGACAGGGAAATCACCGTCACGCAACTTCTGTGAGCCAGCAGTACCGACGCGGGCGTTAAGCTGAATTCAATTTTGCCCGTAGCTCCAATAGTGTATGTGTGCACTGTGATTCTGCCCGACAAATGTCCGACCCAGAGCTGCCCGCAATCAGGAGCAGAGCCCAGTGTCGTGATCTACAAACGGTTCGATTGCACCTTTTAATTTAACATTTCATTTCATATTGGACGAAATCACTTCAGCAACTAATTAAATTCCATTCGTCCCGAATTCCTCGTCTTTACTTCGCAGTTACTTAATTCTTAATAGCGTCTTACTTATCGTGAGAGATACATGTTGTAATACTCACAGGATCGAGGCCTGAAGATTTAATTAAAGGCCTTGGCGGTTGTTCTTTTTTACACTTTAATCTGGCGATTCCATCTGTTCCATTCCATGACGCTAACGCGGCGCCCAACACGGACGTGCAGCTTAACATACTACCACCTAACAATATAAGAGGCTTACATTCGTATCTTCCATCTGAACACTTCGAGTTGCGTAAATGGCGCGATAGTGCAACGACTGCGACGTAAATTAATAACGTAAATTAACGACCTTTTTCCTTGGTATAACCGAGGAGAAGGGTGGTGTAATTAGGCAGACCAAATACGTCACCGGTTGTCAGAGGTACCAGGGAAGCCAATGGAGATCTGTGCTTATGCTTCCAACATAATACAGGCTCATTGCCAGGGGCGCCTACATAATTTCCCCATTTTATACCTGCAATTACATCAGACCGTTGCAATATTTGTTGGTTTTGATGTGTAATTTGGCACTGTAGATATATTCATGATACTCGTCCGACAAACAATATAAACTCGGGGAAAAAATGATTGTACATGGTGTTTTACCATAAGAAGAATACTTAAATATCACCTTTGTTTTTAATGATATGAAACATGTGTTTTGAGCACAATTTGAATGGTTCGAAAGAGGAATACGCCGTGGCTGGAAAACTTTTGTATGATATTTTTTTCGATTGCTCTTAAGGTCTATAAGATATTTAGGTACTCTCCTTATGCTGGGATACTCTGTATATGAATTTTATCTTTCCATATATATATAATCGTATATTATTTTATATGATTATATCTAGTCATTTTTTCTCCCGGGACACACACTTCAAAAAAGTAATAATTACCACTAATTCCTTCGATGACCTGTGGTATCTGACTAGATTGCACTACATTATTGAGATTTTGCATCGACAACGGATGAGCAGCTCTGAATAGCTGCGCGGGCGTTTGACCATAAGTCCGCACCATGGTTTCCCAGGCTTGTCGTGCTACAGGGTCGACTATTTGCTCCACGTTGAAACCGTAATATGTCTGAATGCAAAGAACGAAGAATCATGAATAAAATTCTTACTTGCTGACTCCACGATCGAAGAGTGAAACATACAGCGGGATGGAAAACGTTTATAGCCTCTACCGCCGGTCTTCCTGTTTGTTTGAATCCGAACACGAGGTCAATCCAATACGGCAAAACCTCCCTCACGATATCCGCTTCCAACGCGGCTCTGTGTCCCAATACGAACAGACGCGCGTCACCGCCGCACCATTTCGGCAGTTCAACGTCCCCGACTTTGTTACCGTTCTGTCGTACACCGAAATTGAATCCTGCAACAGTCCAACTGTTGTTTTTCACGCGCGCAAGCAAACGTGCCTTTCCAGTTCGATTCATTATAGTCGTTCTCATTTACCCTCAAAATTCAGTAAAAATTCAGGTAAGTAAAAGAATTCCGGTATCAATTCCTTCACATCTGTCGTCGAGTCGCAACTAGTTAATCTCCACGTGGTGGCTAATGCATGGAACGTTCGGTCGGGAATATCAAAATTATTATCTGCAAACGGAAACGGATACTGTAGAAAATCACCTCCAAGAGGGGTATCGTTATAAAATACTCGTTCTTCAATTACCTTGATAACATAAAAACATGCTGGTGAATGGTGGAAGCCGTACCAAGAAATGTAACACGGTTCCGGAGTTACTATAATGAGAACCATAATGGTAAGGTTCCTGATTCAAGACAATTAGATTTAATCCTTCCGTTAAAGCTTGCTTCAAGTACTAAGTGAAAATGAAGTTATTAGTGACGCCGTGAGAAACAACAGGTAAACGATACACGACGTATAATTGCTTTGAATCGCTTACGTTGTAATTATCAATGTAGTGTTGCTCGTTCTTTTTATCTTGCACAGCCATAGGTCGTTTGAAGTTTCTGCAGAATGCATTCGCAATTAATTTGATATTAATCAGACTAATCTGATCGGTAATTTAATCAAATTCCAATCAATTCGATGAAATCAATCAGAGATCAAATATCAACCAAGAAATCAATTAGATTAATAAAAAGATATACGATTGCATTTCTTCTGTGTTATTTACCGGTAAATCTTCGGATTGTTCAAGTCGATTTTCTCGCTGACGTAGTCCGCCAGGACAAACGGGAATACGGGATACTGCATTAAGTCATTGTACGAACGGCCCGCTAATTTGTTCAGGCAAGTTATGTATTCCCAATTAGTAAGCGCACCGCTTCTCCACAGGGCTAGAGCCTCTCCCAAGTCATCGCCGGGAATTCGTCTGGGTAAGTTGCAAGCGGACAGCTCCGTCGCGAATTCGTCCCTTTCCTTGGCTGAGTTGAACGCTAGCAGATACGTTCTGCCGGTGATGAGAAAAATCTCAATGGCCGTCTCTTGCAATTGGTATCTTCTTCTGTGCAGTTCGCGAATGTCTTCCAGACGCCACGCGGTGCCCCCGGCCATAGCCAAGTCCAGATCGCCCAGTGCTGCCTGCAATATATTAACGATGTTAATTCTATTCTTATTATTATTATTATTCTATCGATTGGTTGATTACAAGTTGATTATAACATGTCAGAAAAGAAAGAGGGACAGCAGAACGGTTACTCACGTCTGCGTGTAACGGCACGTCGGGATTCTCGGGAACAAAGTACACACATGTCTCACCGATGAGAACCTCGCCGGCTAGCTCGGCTCTAGGAGTGACAACTTTGACCTGAGACATCTTGCGTATCCTCTCGCTCGTATGCAGCCGTTCAATTAGCGTCGAAGCATTGGTGTCTTGACGGCCACTTGTGAACAAATACGACAACGGTGACTCCGTATTGGAAAAGTCTGCGAAATATTAAATTTAAAATCAAAATCAATAAGATGGAGAATTTCCCCACATATTTCTCCACATTTTTTCGAGTGTGTGTATAAACGTCGAAAAGGACGATAAAAGGACAAAACTGATAATTACGTTTCATGGTAACGTTAATTTACATAGGATAGGCACACCTAATTTATCTTGATGTTTAGGCAGAAAGAATCTCTTTTCGATGTTTAAGTGACATCTCTGAAGTCTTATTCTGACTCTCGCAGGGCCTTCGGTCGGATCCAATTCCCAGCTTCTCGGGTAGTTCTCAGGAAAATGCCAGGGTGCCCGTTCGTGAGTCAACCGCTTGGCCAAGTCTCTCCATCTGGCTACCGCTTGAGCCTCTAGCGCCCGGGTGTGTTTCAATTGCTCCATCAATATCTTCCGCTCACGATTTTGCTCCTCTACGACCGCCCGTGTTATCGTCATAGCACTTTCGGTTAACTGTTTGGCCAACGCATCGAATCTCTTGCCGATTCTGCCGTAAAATCGCGTCGTTCGATTAACTTTTCGGGAGAATAGAAAACGATATACGTCGTTCCTTGGCGATCGGAAACATCGTCTACCTTAAAATTGCAGGATAATTATCGATACAGACGTCTCGGTCCAAAAGCAAGTCCCGACGCAGTAAAGCTAACTCGTCGTTCCACGCTTCGGGATTAGCCTGCTCTATTCCCTTAGCGAGGTCCCACACCCGTAGAGCTTCCCTTAGTTCGGCACACACTCTCGCGTCAGCACTGGGCATCTCGTCTCGTTTTTGCAACAGGTCCCAAAAGAATACGGTGAACTTTTGCTCCATCTAAATCAACAACATCACAGAAAGACAATGAGGACTGAGAACATGTTTTAAGCTTAAGATTGGGAAGTAACATGTCGTAATGCCGTTAACGATACTTTTTTTTTTTAGTAACTTTTTTTAGTGACTCGATAATGACGTTATTTCTTCTCGTTAATCATGGTAACGTGACCATTACATGGTAACATGATTTTTTTGGACAACGGTATATAACCGTTATCGTTATTTTGCACATATAGAATATATATATCGGAGATGAATGGTAGCGAATCGTAAAAATAAGATTTCCAAAGAACGATGAAAAAATAAAAATATCGGAAATTGTAATATAACTCGTTACCTTTTAAATAACGATAACGAGCTATTTAAAAAAAAAAGCGACCTTCCCAAAACCGCTCAAGGTATATGTACAGGCGCGTTGGGAAAAGGTAACATTAACCAGATTAACTAAGTTATGTAGATATACCTGTGGATGAACCTCCAAGATGCACGACAGAATTTCTCGAGCTCTCGGCTCCTCCATTAGAGATCGAACGGCGTAGACTCTCGTGTTGATGCTCTGATGAGGTTCCAGCAGCCACACCATGATTCTAGCGGTATACTTTCTCAAGGCCGGTCTGACGGACCACGTGCCGCTCCAGTGATTTTTCTTCTCCAGCGGGCTGCACAAGCCGTGCAGAAGGGTGGAGAACAGTCTTCTCGTTAGCTGCAGCTCATTGACGGATGGCGACGCGTCGGCCGCCGTTATAAACTCGACCGCACGTGTGACAATAATGCGAAAGCGATCGTTCAATTCTCCCTTGCCGGGTTCCCGTGTTGGTGCGGGCGTGCCTGTGTAGAGACTCGTGTAACTAGATGAACGAGACCCATGGTCGCTCTGATCGCTAGACGTCGTAAGAACTGCAAAACGAGTTTACCAATGTGAGCACTTGGACACCGAACGTCTGACACACTCACACACGCACGTTGCGTCGTAATTACCTGAAGTCAAATATGACGCCGAAGCCAAATAAGATGCGGTGCTACGCAGACGAAATCCTGAGTGGCTCGACATCTTTGTCGTAAGCGTGTCCAGCTCTCCGTCGAACAACGCGACTTGGGCATCCCTTATGGCCGTGCAGGCCGAGCTCGCGCGACATTGCAACTTCTCTATCAACTCCACGTAATCGAGTATCACATGCAGGTCCAGTATCGTTTGCATCTGATGGCTGCCCGGTAATTCCAGCAGTTTCGTCGCGATCGTCACGAACAGCACATGAATGTCTCGATGAAGAGACGTCGAGCCGCCTCTGTGCGCGGTCGCGATCAAAGCTTGCGCCAACGACTCGATCAGGCCTTGCTCCAACAGTACTTTCAGTGCGTTCATGTTCTGGAATGAAGGGGAACGAGTTAACGGTGTGTGTGTTACGTTAGACGCGCCGAGCACATCTCTCGTCGCTTCAATACCTTCGCTATCACGTCGGTTATGAATGATATTATCGGCCTGGCCACGTTTGGTTCAAAGGCCGCCGCCTTCGCAACCATTGCCATTAACGGTGGCATCGCCGCCAAGGTCGGACCCCGCAGAGCCAAGTTCTCTAAAGCGACGACCAACGGCTCGCTTCCGGGATACAAAGCTATCTGATTTCCTAGATGCATGAAATACTTTAGTTTGATAAATTTGTTAACTTCCTCGTCGCTAGCTCGTTGCAAGTAGGTTTGCACCACCTGTAAGACATCGCGGGATGAAACCGTCCGTTCTCATTTAACCAAGTAGAAAAGAATCGATTGAAATCCTACCATCCCCGATAGGCAAATTGTGGAAGCATCGCACATTAATGACGTCCTGAATTGGCGAACAATTTCGCGATGATTGCGCTAAGACGATCCATCGTTTCGCTGCTTTGCCGAACATATTATTTGTTTGCGTTTGTATATCTTTGTTTATTCATAATTTCAATTTTACTCATTTATATACTGTATATAATGATGATTAATTGCATTATTTTAGTTCACTCTTATTACCATCATTATTATTTTCCATTGCTATTTATTAATGATGTGTCGCTATATTATTATAAATTTCTTTAAACAATTTGTTCTTTCTTTTTTCGTAAAAATTATTTTTTTTTATTATTTAATAATTAAAGGGTATTCCCGGTTAATAAATGATAATGATGATGATGATTTAGAAATTAATTGCGCAAGTTATCAGTGAAATTTATAAAAAATCAATGTTTCTACATGTATTTTCTTAAGTATGTCTACATAATTGCAGCATCACAAATTTCATGCAAAAATGTCTTCATATAATTTCATAAATGTTTCCTATCGGGGATGTTTTACTCAGTCTTCAGTTATTTACCTTGATTAACGCTGTGCGGACTCTGGCGTCAGGATTATTAGCCAACACTAATAGTAATTCGGCTCTCAAGACATGCTTCAACACTGATCCAACTTGGCTGTCGGGTAATACTCTTACAGCGTCTCGCAATAACAACAGCAGACCTTCGCAGACTAAGCCTTGGCAGGCTCTTCGTTCATCCGTCCATGCCGATTGCCTTTCCTGTGTTGTGCAACGATACGCTCAAGTGAGCAACATTGCAGATTATGTTGTACGGAGATTGACACTGTTAACTACGTACATTGCTCTGAGGATTAGATCCGTCACTGGCAGCGATCCCGGAATCTTCCCCGGCGCTGACGTCCTTCGACAACGCGCTTCTACGTTCCTTCCTCTTAGGAGCCCGATTTTTCTGAATCTGCGAACGATCGAGTGGCATTCGCTCGAGTCTTGTGATTTGAGGAACTTGATACTTGAAGCTTTCGCAATATGGGGTAATACTTAAATTGGCTTCCGAATTAGTGTCGCGTCCTTCATGGATTTGTTTCCGACGTTCCGTGAACACTTCAGTTTACTTTTGCAGAGTGAAGAACGACCGGAAATTTCTCGGTTTCAATTTGAGGTCGTTTCTCACTCTGAAGAAGTGAACTGAAATGCTTACGAAACGTCGGGAACAAATTTATGAAGGATCGCAGCCGTTGTTGGCAGTTTTTGTCAAATTTCAAAAGTAAGGACATGAACAATACAAATACGCTTTCGGAATAGTTTCACTAAACGGCAAAAAAAAAAAAATATATATATATATAGCCAAAAGACGGGAACAAACGCTTGAAGAGAAACTTGACGCAAGCGGATGATCCTACCTGCACGTTCGTCAACGCCTTGTTCAGCTTGCTATTTTCCACGATGCCTATTGAGTCGTCGGAGGAAACGACGCTTACGTTATCACCCGTCTTCAGATTCGTCTTCTTTTCGCCTGCGAGCTGTGGCAGCATGAAGTAGATATTGTGTCGCGAGTGAGTGACGTATGTTTCCGAGGCTTGATGAACGACGACCAGGTAATCGGTGATGGCGACCAAATGAGCGAACTCCGGGGGTGCGCCCATCAAGGCACGCACCAATTCCACAACCGCGGTACCAGTAGACGGATCCAATATGGCACCCAGATCTTCGTACACATGCTCCTGCGAAGGACGAAGGATATATTGTAATAAAATAAGCACACATCGCGTATCGCATTCTCGCGTTATAGTAAGCGATTTACTCGCCTTGCACAAAGTAAGAATCGTGTCCACGATACCGACTCGATTCAATTGAGACGCGTTGAACTCGCGTTGCGAATGTTGGTCACGTAACAGCAAGAGCAACGCTTGCAGCAGCAAGTTCAACGTATCGTACTTCGCCCAGGTCCTCCACGCGGTGAGCGCGCCCTTGATCAACTCTGGATCGGTGATCACAGCCTCGCAGTTTTGCGAGATCGAGTGATTGCCGCTGCCGACGTCTTTGATGATGATCGAGCTGTCGCATGCCGCGTCCAATATCGCTTTCAAGATATGCCTACCAGCGTGACACCTCGGGGACTCTAACACTCGCAGTAACAGCGACGTGCCACTCTCCGATCGGTACTGATTGAAAAGTTCCGAGTCGCTGCGTACAAGATGCAGGACTATGGAGAGAGCCAGGGCTTGCTCCTCCTCGGTGGAGTTCAATTCGACCACCTACGCAGAAATTGGCAAACTTGATTTAGGGGAAACGTACACGAGTGGGCATCCAAATTGTTAAGTAGGATCGAAATATTCGGATTTGGAGCAAACACACTCCATATAACGCAGAAACTTGCAGTAACATTGTAATAATGTTAACGTTAGCTTTTCCGCTATGTGAGATGGAACGTTTTAATAATTTAAAAATGTATTTATTTATTATAGCACTGAGTTAACCGTTTCACCTCAATTTCACATTGTTAAATTTTTCTCTTTATCATTTTTATGTGTAACGTTTGCACGTTTGACTGTGTTTTAACTAAAGCTTGAAAAGAGCTTACCCTTGCAAAAAGATACAAGAACACCGGTACGCCGCCCACCAAGATCGCAGCGGGTACAAGTCCCCGGTATTGCTGACTTTCTAATCGGACAGATATAATCGGGGATATCGACAAAGGCGGTTGCTGCGATACCCGGTGCTCTGGGGCTGAGACCACTCGGAAACCAGGTTGACCCGGAAACATGCTTCTCACAACGGCTACGAAAATATATTACGATATACACAATCAATCAATCTGACGTCAGTAACACCCAGTAACGTGTCGATACAACGACGTGTATCCACACTTACCGGCAGGATTGGCGACGGCCAGAGGGTACAAGTGGACGATATTGGGATTCTGAGCCTCGTAACTGAGAAGCAGATTATCTTGTAACTCGCCCAGATGCGAGTTCGTCGCGTCCATGACGGCGTCCCAATCGATGTTCGTTTCTGACACCATCGTCTCGACGGCGTATCTCAAGTAGGTGCCGCCGTAAGACTTTCGTCGAGTCGTATCGAATTTACCTCCTTCTGAATAGCGTATAAAAGTAAAAAGTTAAAGTCTTCTAGTTTTATAGAAATATTATATCATATATATACAATGATAATATATAATCACGTATATAAATGATAATATTCATATCATTATCATACGCTCATATAGCGCACTTTATTCAAGAGACGTCCTGTGGATGTCCTTAGGACATCCCTTGGAGTTCTATGCTGTATGGGATGTTACATCGTTATAGAAAATGATCTATCAATACTCTGTGTTAAGCCGAGCCTATAATAGATGTAGTAAGCCATAAAAAATTGACTAATCACAATCGAATTATAGAAGAATAATCGATTGTTATTGGTCAATTTCTTACCCTTAAGGCTTACTGCACTTATTACAAACTCAGTCTCATACTGACCAAACTTCACTTCGCGAACGCCATTCAGTGCGCCAGACGCGATAAGGAGGGCAAAGTCAGGTTTCACTGTATTCAAAATGCAGTCAGCCAAGTTAGTGTAATTAGGTCCGAGACTTGTTAAATACAGTGCACGTTCTTTCGTGAATACGGGACACCTGCGAACGAAATTCAAATTAGACGCATGCGTGGCTTTTACTCCTCCAAGTAAATCGTACGGTTTCGATTTTGAATAGCAAAACTATGTACCTAAAGACCATTAAATTTCCGAGGTACCATGCGCCAATACTGCTCGACCCAATTTGACCTAACAAAATACACGTAGTACCAGGCTTTCTCACCAGTAAACCGTCAAACGGCAATTGAGCATTGATCTCTCGCCAACCGTCCACCCAAAGTGTCACTTCGACCACAGCACTGCGCTTATTCAACACGGTGTCTTTGAAATTTAGAGTCAAGTGATGCCAACGTCCCGAAGGGAGCATGCCGTTTATCGAAGTTTCAGAAATCGTTCGATTCATCTTGTCGTCCGGTCGAGTGAGACGTAAGATTAATTTATCTAGAAACAATCGAATTTATATCATGGCGAATTTCCCCAAGCAATAATCCCCAGAAATGCTGAGCATGAGTATGCGAACATGATGCGCATAGATATACCGAATATACCGAAATACGTCTATCTTACTGTTACCTGATTTGAGATCGAGCCAGGTTTCCAGGACCAACGATTCGAAGCCGATGGACATCAAGTGTATTATCGACGTTGGCGTGGGCGGCGACACGGAGCCAGCTATAACTGACGATGTCAGGGTAACGATTAGGCATCGTTCGATGACGTGATGATGATTAACAATCGCAACTCGGAACACACTTAACGAATTTTCTACTGACCTTCTCGATTCCAATTGTCCGAAAGAACACCCCAGTCGGACAGGCTGTCGCTGTCCGAGTCGAGCAACGGTGAAGTGCCGTAGGCGGTTGTTCTGCCGCCGGTGGGCAGGCCTCTTTCCACCCTGAGCCACATCGAGACGGAGCAACCGTGCAGCCACACTGGCCAGGCGAGTTCCGGGCCGACGGGCAGGCACGTCGCGTGCACAGACCAAGGACTGCAAATGCCGGACGCGAGATGCTTCTTCCTGAAATTGTTCACGAGATTCTCCGCCTTCTCCAGATTCTTGTGCTCCTCCGTTTGGACCTTCGGCGATGTGTTGCCGTTCTTCGCGCTGCACCGCACGGGGAACGACAGAATGAAGTTCGGCTGTGGTCGCGCCGCCATTACCAAGTGATACAACGGCTCCAGCAACGGCAAGAGCGGCGGCCTCGACACTTTGAAGAAAGACAGATACGAGACCAGTTCCGCCGGCGAAATGGATTGCGTGGCCAACAGCGTGAACACTTCCAATGCCGCGTGCTGCAGATCTGCAAAGAGCATTTGCTGCGTGCTAATGCGTTTCATAAGCAGATCCCTCCCACGTGAGTGTGCGCTGCGCTGGTATACCTCGATATCGCGGATCGTTGTTGGTGAATATGTTCCTAAAGCCGTTCAATATCTTCGTGATGGTGCCGGAGGCCGCGAGTGCGGCGCAACTTGAGGCGCTTTCTCGACAGGTGACAGCAACCCGTCGCAACCCGCCGGTTATCACGGACGCTCTCTCGAGATCCAAACCCCTGCAAGGAAGGCTTCATGAAGTAAGACGACGTTGGTGTTGGCCGGAAGAACCTTGAGAACTTACTGCTCGCTGAAGTGAATCAATAGATCGATCGCCAAGGAACACAGAGCGGGGTGCGCATTAGCGTGACCTCTTGGCTCCACCACGGACCCGAGGGGGCTGCTTTTCTTGGAGACGCTGCTGTTGGGATTTCTCCCGGGCACCTCGATGTCCGCCTCGTACCCGTCGTCAGCAGTGACGTACTCGCCGGTACTGCTGTCTTCCGCACCGTAATCTGGCAGACTCTCCAACGACATAATCGGTAGCTGCGACGGATAAAATAATCATTAGTATAAATATGTACGCCGTTCACGAGTTTCTTCTCTGCATTCTTGCATTTTTAACCCTCTAACGGTAAGGCGGGGACGGGGGGGG